CTATAATAAAATTTAGCTTCTCCTTGCTAAACATAAGAGCAGATTTTAGCATATTCAGTGTTTCAAATAGCCTATCTCCACAGGCCACAACTGCCACCACAATATCTGACCTAAAAATACAAACATTATTAATTATTGAATAAAGAAATTATACCTACAGGCTTTATTACTTTTTAAAATATATTCTTTCAGTGGTAACTTCATTATCCTCCACCACTTCTTCAAAATCTTCCTCTAATATGTCTGTACTGTTAATTAATCTTATACTATACAAGTAAAAAATAACTAGCGCTATTGAGAGTAATATCCCAAGTTGCAATATAGTATACAGTCTCATGTTTTCTCTTGTTGAAAATGTTTTTCACATTTTGAATTGTAAAAATGTAAATATAAACAATTACAAAAACATAACCTATTGATTGGTTGGTAATTGACAACTTAAAATTGTAAAACTGACGTCATTTCATTGACCCTACTGCCACTTCAGCCAGTTTTTGTCGGGTGTTGGAACTACTATAAAAAATAAGCAATTTGAAGGTTATATAACAGACGTCAAAAGTTACCATAACCTCAAAATTATGAAATACGAAATTTTATAGAATTCAAAAATGTTTTTACGCAAAAGTGGAAAGTTATATTGCTTCCTTCCACTTAGTGGATTATTTGATGCAGACAAAGTACAGAATCTAACGAAGACAGAACAAACCTTAGATAAAACAAATCCTGAAGAAACGGGATGGGATAGACTAAAAAAAATGTTTGAAGTAGAGTAAGTACTTATGAAAACGGCTTTGGTTGGCGAATTGTTCGAGCGTTAACTTACTGGGCATAACAACTCAGTGGTTATGAGTTCAAAACACAGCGGAGATGAAGAATTTTTATTAAAAAAGTCTCTTCCTTGTCACATCGTTTCTCACCTGATATACCACAGTTGTTAGGTTCTTTGTTAAGTCGATGAAGCCTTTAGTAATAAGGCAATTACTTAACATACACAATGTACAATAAGTAGACATGCCGTTAATATAGTTGCTTATTATAACACTAAATTCAGTACACACATCTAGAAGTATTACCTTAACTAATTACTAGACTAAATGATATCAAAATCTAAGAAGTACAATAATGTATTTGATTTATTTTTAGTGAATTTGGTAATGTTACAAATGAAGCACAGTCAATACTGCATGTAGGTGCCTTAAGTGTATTTTTAGGAGCAATATATGGAGGTGTAATCAATAGTAGACAGGCCTATATGGAGTTTATGAGAAGTAATGAGGCAACTAGCTTCAAAAGTCATCTGGATGCAAAAGTATATCCCTCAACTATTTACATATTTTATCATGATACCTTATTGTTTTGTAGAGAAAATTGCAAGATGCTGTTACTATAAGTTTTGGAAAAGGGGCCTTCAAATGGGGCTGGAGGTTGACTTTATTCAGCACTAGTTTTGTGTAAGTTTAAAATATCCTGAATAAAAAGATGAAATATTCTTTAGATTTGTTTTAAAGGGCAATTTCAACAATGATTCAAGTTTATAAAGGCAGCTATGGAATCTCAGAATATACAATTGCTGGTATAACAACTGGAGCTTTATATAAGTTTAATATGGGTCCCAGAGGGTGGATTGTGGGTGGAGCACTAGGTAATGTTTTTAAAAATAATATTAATGTTTTGTTTATTTTTTGGGGGATTTTCTTAATTTATCTCTTCCATTTTTGCTCATTTTTTATTAGTAGTTACAATTGAAAGCATAACAGCTTTTTAACAGGTTGGATGCCGCTATTTTGTAACTTACTTTTATGTGGTCCCGACTAAGAAATGTAAATAAATATATAAATAGGTACCAACGCGTATAAGGACGGAGTACCGAGCAAAGTACACAGTACTACCATGCTTATAAGCGTCAAAGGCATCCAACCTGTTAAATTACAGAGTAATCTCTGGCCCATTTATGACATTTATTTTTGTGGGTTGTGCTTGGCGTTGTGTAGCTTTTGTGTTCTTTAAATACACTGTTTTGCTCTTTAAATTATTTCATTTATTGCTATATTTGCTTACTTGCCAATTTGGCACTAAAAGTACAACTTTTTTCTTTTTTAAATGGTTCTCTTCATATATATTGTATTTTGTTCTAGTTTGTAGTTAATCCAACTTTTTTTGCTTTGTTAGCTAGTTTTTTTATGGGCTTGGCTCTACTCTGTTTTGCTTTGCTCTGTATAACAAAATCTTAACTTCTGAGAATAATTTCAGGAATTTCTTATGCTTAATTATGTATTTTGTTAAAGCACACATGATTTTTTTTTTAATTTTTTTGCTTATGGAGTTATAAAATAATGTTGTTACTGTGTAGGCAACACTGATATTATGAATTTTCATATGGAGTATTTTTATTTTATTATTTGCCCATTGATATATTGTTTTTGAAGTCAACAATGTGTAACCTATCTTTTTTTTGCTTCTAGGTGGTGTATTAGGTACTGTTTGTGGTGGAGTAACTTGTGGTATACTGAAAATGGCAGGAATATCAATGGAAGAGGCAAGGTATTGGCAACACAATTGGAAACAATCCAGAGTAGATTATTTTAATAAAGGTGTTAAAGAATATATGGCCAAGGAAGATTTTGCAGTCATAAAATTACATGATGATGCAGTAGGAGAGCAGGGAAAAGATATAAATGTGTTAAATGTAGTAGAAAATAAGACAAACGAGACAAATATAAGCAGTAAATAAATTTATTTATAATCATCAGTGTTTTTATTTGTGTAATCTGTTTTAAATTTTTGGCAAACTCTGTACTGCCTTTGAATTAATAAATTTTATGACAAGTTACTAGCTAACTCTTTATATGATAAAATTATTGAAGTTCAATAAAACTCAAAAAGGAGCTAATTTATGAGGCAGGAAATCAACTATTTGCTGAATGTAGATTTATTTCATCTGAATCGTTAAAATGAGAAATTCCTCATACTTAAATTTTCCTTTTTAGTATCGTCGCATATATTATATTGTCCATGAGTTTTATCACCATTTTCTTCTGATATCTTCACTCATCTTTCAGTGTCTCAATGAAATTCTTCTCAGTATTTTAGCAGTTTCCATTGTGTTTTGGCTGTGTGGGGCCTTGTTTCTGATGTACACATCAAGATTCTACCACATACTTCTACTATAATTATTTAACTGCGTATGGGGCCTATATGCAAGAGATATATCTCTAGGAATAATCAAAATGATCGAAAATATCTACCAAAACAACAATAAAAGCAAAAGTACCATGACTGATATTTTTAATGGCATAAATGAGCTGCCCAATAGGCTTACTGCTGGTCCAGATCGTGTGCCTAATTTTTTATTAAAAAGTGTGTCTGTACCCTTGTAATACCATTTGTTATATTGTTTAATAGATCTCTGGAAACCTCTGTGTTTCCATCTTCATGGAAAGAAAGTTTTGTTGTTCCTATATTTAAAAATGACATATGCAGCAGAAACAAGACCTTATACAGAGAGGACAAAAAGGATGTTAGAAACAGCAGAGATGAAAACACTTAGAAAAATGTATGGTAAGACACTATGGGACAGAGCTAGAAGTACAGATATACGATGTAGATGCAAGGTGGAGAACATCAAGAACTGGGTTAGAAATAGAAAAGTAGAATGGAACGATCATATAAGCCAAATGACAACAAATAGATAGGAAAGAAGGCAAGAGATGGTTCTCCAATAGGAAGACCATGGAAACAATGGAACGACAACTTACTGGAGGCACATTGAAAAACAGGCAGTCATGTCTATATAAAAAGTAGAAGAGGAAGGTATGAGGGCGTTCAAGTATTACATAATGCAATTTTTGAAGATTTTTGACATCCCAACCCCCCAATTGCGTTACGTAATACTTGAACAACCCCCATTTAAATAAAAACCATATATTTATAAAAGCTTTTTTTATTTCTCTTCTAGCACCATATAAAAATATAACCAATAATTTAAATAAAGCATCAAATACTTTTAGTAAACATAGTCTTCTAACACGTTTTGTCAAATAACATCATAAATAGTTAAAAATGATTACTAAATATAAATAATATTTAATAATAATTAACAAATAATAGTTATCCAGGTTAACAATAGCAACTAATAAAATGAGGAAGCCAAACTTTTCGTTTTGTTCTCGTTAGTACAGAAACTTTAGGGTTTTCTACTAGATGGCAACACAAATGTTATTGTTAGCATCTTGCTAATTGGAGTAAACACATCTATGTAATATATTGTTTGTGTTAAATCAATAAACCATAAAAAACCGGTTTTATATTAAATTTGGGAGACTAATTAGAGATTAGTCTTTTTAAAACTTGCAATTGTTTTTGACAATACTGCGACTAGAGACATGTTTGACAAAAATATAAGTAAAATAATTTCTAGCAACTAAAATACTGTCATATATTCAATAAATCTGGCATATATACAAGTTATTCAATAATTTGGAAGAAAAACATTATAAGAAGCAAATTTCCATACAATAACCCTCTTAATATGAACTCACAAATAGTGTATTTAAAAAATTGTATATCAACAGCAAATATCGACCAAAAAATTGAAACAATAAGTACTTTATTGGATACATTTGTACTTTTATGTTGTAAATATCATACGAGGTTTGATTTTAATAACTTTGCACTCTAAACTGCAAAATCTTAAAGAATCCTATAGAGATCGCCAAAAATTTACCCATTGATGTTTTTTTCCTGGAAGCCATTTATCTCCGGTCGTACTGTAGCCATTTGGCTTATTTAACATCACCGTTGGCTTTTAAAAAACTGCCAATTAAGAGCTAAATTATGCATCCATTTTTTATTAACCAAACCAAAAATATTGGTTCTATTTTTTGGCCCTATATTGATTAAGAAATCTTTTTGGTACACTTTATTTTTATGTCATATAATAAAAGTATTGGCAACATTAAAATTAATTAAAATCAGTCGGTGTGAGTGTATTGATTAATAACACAGAAAGTTTATCGAAATTAGTCAATGCAAAAAGAGTTTTGACATAATTTTTTAAAAAGTAAATTTTCTTAACGGATTAAGGTATAGTGGTATAAGAAGGAAAGCACAATCATACGACCTATGTATGCTAAAAGACCTTAATGTGAGGATGAGAGTCTCAAGCCACGTTAAACGAGCAAGTGACTGTAATTAGAGACGAATTGAACGAAGAACAAATGATCAAACATATTACAGAAATAGTGCAAAATGCAAAGGATAAACACTTAAAGACAGATAGATTAATGAAGAAAAAAGCATGGATGGACATCGACTTGAGATGCCCAGACAAATATAAAACCATAATATATGTGGAATAAGATAACTGCCCAAATTGGAAGATCATCCAAAAGAATGAGATAGAAGACTACAAATAGCTTACCAATTATGGATTTTAATGCTATTTAGGGGATTACAATGATATCTTCATAGATACCCCTTTTTTTAAATTTAACTTCCTGATTGGAATGTTCAATTCAATATACGAAGGTTGTTTGACATTAATCTAGCCTTAATCCAGCTGTTGTAGGAGTCTGCATCGTCATTAGCAACCGTTAAATTTTTTTAAACTGAATTCGTTCATAAAGACACTGACTATCCCAGAAATTATAAAAATAGACCATAATATGACTATGGCAGATCGTAGGATCAAAATTCATTCAAAATGGACAAGTACATCAGATTTGAAGAATCTTTTGAAGCAATCAGAATGGATTTTTTGTCTGTTGCGTGTGTCTCGATGCAAAATGGGTCCATTTATAGACGCCCAGAAAAAAAGAACATATAAAGTGGTGGAGAAAAATAGCAAACGTCAAAATCGAAAACGACTAAGACTGCCGTTCTGACGAAAAACTTGTTGCAATTTGAAGTGAAAGTTTTGAAGCCAACGATGAGATCATAGCCGAAATTTCATACAATTTTGAAGACCGCAAGAAAAAAATAGTCTTATTCTAATCAAAAGCAAAAAAAAGTTAAAAAAGCAGGTTATCGAGTGTATTGAACAAAGACTATATTGAATAATACATCAATCCTTCAGTTTCATCCTTAGGGTTTAAGTTAATATCAAATATATAATAAACATCAAAAGTTTAAGAAATTTGATACAAAACTAGAATTTTCTGTGTTATCAATCAACAAGAAATAAATTGTAACTACATATTTTTTAAATATATTCTAAAAATTCCAAGATAACTAATTTTATATTCACTTTCAATAAATTATATAATAAAATACAGTAACTTACTTCCAAACATTATCAAATAATCATAGAAAACAGCCTTTTTATTTATTCTCTTGCCTGATAAATCATTGAGCAAAAAATTTGACGCAATGTGACTTGTAAAGGAACAAAACATAAAATAAACACTTTAAATCAGGCGCTCATCCGTATCATTCATTGTTGTTCCTGGTCATGCGCTTTGGGCCGCGGTTTGGAGGTCCTTTAGGCCTAGCGAACTGAGGTCTGTGTAGGCTATTTGTTGGATGGAGTTCTTCATACAAGAATTTTTCAGTGAGTTCATCTCCAGAATCTATTTCCACCTAAACATATAAAATTATTTTTTTGATCAATTACTGTAAAACACATTAGTTTTCAATTTAAGAATGCCTAAGGAATTGATGGGAGGTGTTGTCTAGTCAAACTGTCATTTTTTCAAACAATGCTATCAACTGGACGAAGAAGTTTTTCTTTGTAAATGATAAAAATACTTAAGTCCAAAATATGTTTAAAATTAATTTTGTGAGACCTGTCACTATAACTGAACTTTTTTATACCTGACCTCTTCACAATTTTAAAGAAAATTAGTAATTACTGTGATGAATACCATTTTTAATTCATTTTCCCAAAAATGTTTGTTAAAAATTTAAGACTCACTAAACTTGTCTCTAGCTCTACATAATATTTTATATAATGGCTCTATATAATATGCAATATTGTTGATGTTTATTATCTTAACAATAGTTCATAGAGATAATCAACTTATAACTTAAAAACTGTTATATAACTATTATTTTCACTGCAAATACAAACCTTTTTGGCAATTTCAATTCCTAGATTTGATATGGTATCTGTTAGTGGGTTTTTACAACTGGAATACAACATCCTTTCCTTAATAGGGCAATTATATCCTGGCATTGAGTAAATAAAAACTGAAAAGAAAAAATATTAATAAAAAAGTTTTCCATGACCAAGTTTTTTTTATTTGTACATAAAGCATACAAAAATGTCATTAAATTACCAGATCTGCATATCTAACTATGACAAAGAGTAAATGTGGGCCCTACATAAATATTTGTAGCTTAATTTAATATAGTTAATACAATTAAAAAATGGTCTTACCCATACTTTCTGTGTAGTCTCCTTCATGTGTATGTTTAAATATATATAAATGATACCTTCCACTATCTTTTGGAACTTTGGATGGTAATTTTGCTAATGATATATTTTCTGCAGATACTAGATGAATAGTTTCTTCTTCAATATCTGAAAATAAAACAAAGTACAACATAAAAATGGCGAAAACATATGAAATTTGATGTAGATAGAGGAACAAACAAACCGAGAAAGTAGTGTGAGCAAAAAGTGTACTATACTAGTACCTTTTTAGCAAGTATAATACTTGCAATATAATAAAATAACAATCAGAGACTGTACAATTAGACATTGGTTATAGTTTACATCCTTACCTATTCTAAATTGCAAGTAATCATATGATCCACTAGCCATATCAATCAGAGCTTGTTTTGCAGTCTCAGTTATTGGAAAAGCTACACCTCCAACAGTCTGTTGCTTTGTATCAATATTAATATCAGTGTGAACTTCAGTTTTTCTTATTTCCTGCAATTCTTCTTCCCTCATGGATAAGGGTGCAGGGGCAGCAACAGATTTTTTGTGCTTTATATATCCATTTAGAGTGATGTCGCTCTATAGAAAGATAAAATTATTATTATTATACAAATGCAGTGATTATTATGTGAAAAAAACAATATGAAAATAGTAAAATGTCATAAAATAGCAATGTAGTGCAATGATAAGTTTAAAAAGGCACTGAAAATCAATTTCTTGCTCAAGAATCATTATCAAGGCATTTATTGGCTCCTTATTTGATTGATCTACTTTGAACTACATCTACTTCTGTCTTGGGTGGATCTATTAAGTATTTCAGGATAATTCCCCATTGCTTGGACATATAAAGTAATTTTATATATTTCCCACAGATGCAGTAAGACCCTCATTGTTCTATTTTTGCTTCTAAATGACCTTCAGGATCTCTGCTGTTAGTTCCAGTTCAGCTTTCAATGCTTCTAAGGTCACATTTAAAGTGATGGAGTATTGCAAGAAAACTAAATAACTAGTTTAATGACTGTTTGAATTGCTTTGTATTAATATTAACAGGCATCATAACAAGTGTCATCAATTCACATTGTAAGTTCATTAAGTTCATATTAACAAAACCTATAGAAATAAAAAAATTGACACAAACAACTCTTGTAGGAAAACATAAACCACTAATAAAAAAAATCTTACACTGATAGTTCCATGTATTTCTTCTTTTATCTGTGCAGTTCCAAACTCCTGTTTGAGGGTGGCTTTTGTTGAGGCGTACAGCATTTTCTGTCTTACTGGTGCTGTATCTGGTGACCAACTGATCAATAGCCATTCATGTCCTAAGGAATCTTTACTATCTAGCCTAAAAATTATAGAATTATGTAAACAGCATATATTAAATTTAGAGTTGATTATATGACACAACTAAATGTACTTCTACTACAAAAATGGAGTTTACATAGGTGATATTATAGGAACTATAAACTATTGAACCTATTGTATAATGAACCACTTGCCTATATATGATGTAACAAGGCTGATTTTCTTCAAGTAATGGTTGTATGTTTGTATCAAAGTCTTTTTCCCAATTATGTTTAACACTTTTGCTTGCATCTAGAATCAATTGCTCTAAAATATCAAAAAAATGATTATTCAAAAACATACTTCGGCATTAAAACTATTTGATAAACAAAATAGCTCACATTGAGCTAATGAGCTCTTTTATGCTCAGTTTAACAAGTCTACTTTTTAAAAATGAAGATGTATTATATTCAGAATAAAATGATGAAATTTTGTTTATCCATATTTAAAAAATGTAGATCTTACATGAAAGAATTTGGAGTTGCAAAACCTTTGTTATTATGAATTACGGGAAATAGATAATATAAAGGATCAAATGAAAACTAATTGAAAAAAATTTAAATTTACAGAACCTACCATCCTTAATAGATACTTTTACCAATCTGACCATACCTTCCTTGCACTTGGCAAAGAACTTTTTTAATTCATCATTAGCTAAAAATAAAAACAATTATAATTAACATGAATGTTACTTAACTAACTCCGTAGTACATTTATGTCAAAAATTAATAAACAAATATAATAAATAACAATCATTTATTATCGTCGATATATATGTTAAAATAAAAAGTTTATTATAAAAAACTATTCTGTATGAATCACCCACATTTATTTATAAAGAATTATAATTAAACATAACAGAAACGGATATAACTTTATTATACCTCGAATCCCTGTTTGATGAGACATTTTACACAGATATTAAAACAATTATAATTTAGCTTTTCAAATTATTATTTTTTGTAATTCAATCTTCAGAAACACCTAAAAAATTTTGGAACTGTCATAAACGTCACCTCATTTATCTCTTTCTTGACCTTGAGTTGACACTACCAATCTGTCATTGCCATTTTTATGATATCGTCACATAATTGGAGATAATATTTTTATTGTTTCGTTTATAGCATATTTTGACATGTACTGATAAATTAATTCATCGTGATTATTAGAATCGATATATAAAGTTTGTTAAATAGTCAATTTCTCTTTTGTATACATATTTTAATAATAAACTTAAAATAGTGTTACAGATACTACGAAAAACTGCCTTACGCAAATGTTGACATATGATAAGAGAGCGGGACAACGAGAGATAAACTTCACTTTAATTTTGACGTTTTACAAGTATTAACTAGTTTGAATTTAGCACGTGTAAAGTGTATTATAATAAATTTTATTAATACGTTTAGGAGGTGCTAATTTAAATACATATAAGTTGGTGTCCCACTCATTTTGAAATCTTGGATTTTTCTGCAAATCGTGTTTAATCCTTCTTATTGTGAGAAAATAACCATATCGAAATATAAGATGTCTGTAAAAAGTAGTCGTCGTAGCTCTAGCAAGTCATCCACACCTTCCTCAATATTGAAAACGCCTATGACCCTAAGAAGCCGTATCAGTGCAATTGAAAACACTCCCTCAAAGGTCCGATTTGTCTTACCTCACTCACAAAAGGTAAGATCTATTCTTGAAGAATTTTCTGCACAAGGATCTTCCAGGGAGTATGAACAGCTGATTATAATGATCAGAGATGCTACACTAACAAACAGTGATATTTCGGCTCTATTGAAAGAAGCTACAGAATGTATAACACTTCTAAATCAAAATCTAAGATTATTTGTGGAGGCCTTAGTTTCTGTAGAATGGATTGACAAAAATGAGAATGTGGTATCAGAATATAGAGCTTTCATAGTGGATCTATTGGCTGCTCATAATTATCACGCTAAGATGGTTATAGATAAGTTGGTTAGATTGTTTTTACCAAGTAAGTTTCTGAATTATTATTCATAGTACAACTTTCACATATTTTTTGAATTTTAATTAATTCCAAGATTGTATTCAGTTTAATGTAAAATTAATTTTATAAACCCGAAATTAATAATCATAAAACAATCCAAATCCCAAAACAATATTGTGCAATCTAAAAATGTTGCACAATATTATTCTAAAAATTGGCTTTCATTTTTTGATATTGCACAATGTTTTGAATACATTTGACAAAGTTTAATTCAAAGTAGAACTTATCAGATTAATAAAGATTTTATTTTAAACTGTCCAATTTTTAATCCACAATTTTAAATTTGTTCTTTATGCAACTTCCATTCTTGTTCTTTATTATGTTCTATGCAATATCGTCTTGTTCTTCGATAATAATTAAATGCTTGGTAATTATTTACTAAGCGGGAACGCCTCAAAAATGCCCAATTTTTTGTGGACTTAGCCGAAAAAGTGAAAAAACCTCAAATTTTAATGTTTTCTTTGGTGTAAACTAGTAAAAGTACCCAAATAATCAAAAAATTCAGAAAAACTTTATATAAATTTAATAATGAATGAAATTTATTAATAAATTTAATGAAAATTACTTCCTACTACTTATTAGTCTAAAAAAATAGTGATTTGTTTGAAATACTATATGTATTATATATACATAAATTATTCTGTGAATCTCACAATATTTATTAGCATAACATTTCATATTTTTCTTTACATTTTATTATTAAAAATGTAAACCAATAAACCAAATCCTTTTGTAAGATATTTAAAAGCTCAAAGTTATTACATATTCTGTTAAAGCATTGTCAACATTTGACAAATTCAAAAGGTCTTCCCATTTGATATCATTGAAAGATAGTTATTGAGACCTTCATAGTCTGTGTTAACAAAATCATGATAAAATTTCATATATTCTAATCCTTGATGTTCACATAAAATAATATTGTAAGTAATATCACTATTTTTAAAAATTGGATCTGAAACTTTTCTTACTTGTAATTCACAATTCACCAGAATTATTTATTGAAACAACTTTTGTCAATTTTGAATTTTCAAAGATTTGAAAGTTTATGAAAGATTGTGGTTCAATGATTCTGGATCTCAAAATATCACAAACTTGGCAAACATCAATAGATTCCTTCATTCGCTAGCCTCCTCTAATGTATCACAAAACTAGACAAACAAAACCTTTTATAATTATTATCAATGGATATTAATTATCTTGAAAAACAATTACTAAAATGAGCATATGGGGTAGATTTGTGGTTTTTTTACAGACTTTTCAAACACAAAAACATTACAAACAATATCAGAAAACTGCTACATCATAATATATCCACATCCTTTTATATAGGTATATCCTTTTGTAATTAAACCAGTCATGAAGCTTTCAAAATGACTACAATGTATTTAAACCAAATAATACATACCCCAAATGACAAATTATTCCATTCAAGAGCTACCAAAAGCACATATATAAAAAAAATTAGCCAAAAAATACTGAAACTATAAATTGATGATTGAATTACTGTATCTATATTTGATGTAACAAGACAGATTTTCTTTTTATTGTTAGCTATTATGAAGTTTTTACATATCTTTTATACTATCAGAGGTCTTTTATATTGACGGATTTCAAATTTTGCCATTACAGAGGTAGTGAACAAACAATTTTTATTAATTTGAATTGTTTTAGGTCCCACTGAACCTGATTGGCCTGATGGAATACCTACAGCAGAAGACTGTGGAAAATATTTAAATCTACACACTCTATTTAATGTATTATTAGCTATAGTTCCCATGTAAGTTACAACTTTGTTTTAATAAGTTTTTCTAAATGATAAAAAAATATACTAAATATGCACAAATTACACCATCACAAACACACACACACACTATTCTCAACTCTGTAGCATACCACTACAAAATGCTATACACTGTAAAAGTTAATATGTTGGTTTTTTTGACTAAATGTATTTCTTTGCTCAGTGTGTCTTTAAGTTGGAAAAATATTAGATATGTTTGTTGGTAGCATAAAACTGTTGAAACAAGCAAAACAGTATGTGAACCTTAATTGATGAACAATTTGGTCTTATAATGGTGAGACCTCCAAGACAGGTGTCTTGGATGAATCTGGGGAAATATGTAGGTTAAAGTTAATCATATTATCTTACCAAGAAAATTATGTTTTTCTTGGTAAGTTTTTATGAATTACTGGTGCAATTTTAATCTGGTTACTAGCTTTCTTTCAAACAAATCCTTAATTGTCAAGGAGAAAGGACATTTTATTTAGTATTTTTGTTATTGATATTGGTAATTGTTTCCAGTATTGTAAGTTTCTGTGTTTTGATGACAATATTAAATTTTACTTAGATGTGGCTAATATAGATGATTGTTTATTGCTTCTGTCTGACTTAAATGGGTGGTTTAACTAGTGTGAGGTGACTGGTATGCAGCTTAATGCTGAAAAGTGTTACTGCATCTATTTCTACAAAAGGAAGGTATATTATAAACTTTGATTATGAAATCAATAAATTTATTGTATCAAGGGTTTCAGTACTTAAGGATCTGGGAGTTAATCTCAGGTAATCTCTGTTGTTTTATCAATATTGATATGGTTTCCAGAGCTCTGGGAATTTTGGTTTTACGAGGATAGATTGATATTGAACTAGCCTTTTACAGATGGCGCTACTTAATACCGAATTGGTTTCGATATTGACATTTGCCATTCATGAAATGACAAGTCCATGACATGAGACATGAGTCCATGACATTGAGGTCCTAAACACTTCCTACAGATGCGTAAACAACATCACTCACCATCATTTGGATATGGAAAAGCTATCCGCGCGATGGGTGCCGCGTTTGCTGACAATCGATCAAATGCAAAAAGATGTGACCACTTCAGAGACGCTTTTGGCGATGATACGGCGCGATCCGAAGGTTTTTTTTTCGCCGATTTATCACCGTTGATGAAACCTGGGTGCATTATTACACACCGAAAACCAAAGAACAGTCGACACAGTGGCGCAAATGCGGCGAAGGACCGCGTTCTGACCGCATTCGGCCGGCAAAGTGATGACGACTGTTTTCTGGGATGCGAAGGGCATCATCCACATCGACTACTTGGAAAAAGCAAAAACAATCAATGGTGAGTACTATGCAGCATTATTGTATCGATTCGATGCCGAATTGCGTCAAAAACATCCGGTTTGGAACGCAAAAATGTGCTCTTTCACCAAGACCGGCTCACCGATCGGCCGTCGCCATGGCAAAATTACACAAGTTGGGCTATGAATTGGTTGAACACCCACCATATTCCCCAGATCTTGCTGCCAGCGACTTTTTCCTGTTTCCAAACCTAAAAAAATGGCTCGGAGGACACCGTTTCGCAACAAATGATGAAGTTGTCGCTGAAACTTTGGCTACTATTTTGAAGAGCTTGAACAAAAGTATAAAAAAATTGGAACATCGTCTTACTAAGTGTATCAAGCTAAAAGGGGACTATATTGAGAAATAACTCCATTTAATTCCAAAAAACTTGTTTTTTTCTATCAAAGGCTAGTTTTATATCATTCCACCCTCGTATTAAGAGATTTATTAGAGTTTAAGAGCATGTATGCAGTCCATTTTCTATTTTGAAAACCTAGATTTAAAAGTCAAAGTATTTTATTATTTGGCATACTCTTGTCTTAATTGGATACACTCATTACAAAGAATCTGTAGACCTATAGACATTAAGCTTCAAGAAAACATTTTTGTCTATACTTAAGATAGATTTTTATATATTTTATTTCTGTGTGAGACACTTAAATGAACTTCATTGTTGGGCTTTTCAAAATTAGAATAGATTACATTAATAAGATTGTTCAAGCAACTAATGTAGCGTTTGTGCAATCTATTTAGAATAATGTGTATTTACTAGTGCAAAGTGCAAAATATTCTTAATTTTTTTCTTTGTTTTACAACTATCACAGCAATTTGTTCTTCATATTATTGTATATATTTTTTTTCAGGTGTAAAGAATTATTTTATTCTTCTGTATGTAACCAATTTCCATATTATAATAAACCTACACATGCACATGAATTGTATATTCATAATCTATTGTGGATACTAGAATATCAACCAACACTAAGGCCTGAAATACTGAGACTTATCTTTTCAAAGTAAGTATCATTGAATTTTACTGAACTATGTTTTTTTCATTCTTTAGTTTTCCATTCTTTAAGGCAATATATAAGGTGATTATAAAGGTAATTTTAAAAATAACTTAACCAATAATGTAACAATATCTATGATACTATTGCAAGTTGTAAAAACAGATTATGTGCAGGGCCGGATGGAATCCCCAGCCTATTTTCTGAAAAAATGTATATGTGTACTTACAAAACCAATTTTGTTTATTTTTAACAGATCACTTGGTACTGGTAGCTTTCCCAGTCTCTGGAAGAAAAGTTTTCTAAAGCCGATTTTTAAATCGGGCGCAAGGAACGATATATCAAACTATCGAGCTGTCTGTAATCAGTCGGAGCTGCCCAAGTTGCTTGATTGTTTGGTTAGTAAGAAACTGACATGGAGTTATAGAGGCATTTTTAATCCTGAACAATTTGGCTTTATGAGAGGGAGGTCAACAGATACCAACCTGGTTTTGTATGTCAATCATATATATAACAGCTTTGAAGAGGGGTGCCAGGTTGACTCAATCTATACTGACTTTTCCAAAGCATTTGATCGGGTAAACCATGGGGTCCTCTTACAAAAACTAAGAGCTTTGGGTATTTTAGATCCCCTTCTTTAGTGGATTACAGAATTTGTTAGTGGCCATACGCAGACAGTTAACTTGGGAAGTGACACTTCAATTGAAATAACAGCCATCAGGCGTGCCACAAGGCTCCCATTGTGGCCCTGTTTTGTTTTGCTTGTTTCTGGTTGATTTAGTACAACAAATCAAAAATTGTAGTGTTCTTATGTTTGCTGACGATGTAAAACTGTTTAGAAAAATTCAATCCTGGAATGATGCTGTTATATTACAGGAAGATCTTAAATCGTTTTATGATTGGTGCACTTTAAACAAAATGTCACTCAATATAAAACAAATGTCATAAAATGACATTCTCGAGGCAAAGAAATCCAATTACATTTGTTTACTACATAAATAACTTGCCATTAGCCTCGAAAAATGAAGTATTAGATTGGGAATTTGGTTAGACACCAAACTGTCATTCTCAAGCCATATTAACCAAGTAACAAACAGAGCGATGAAAGTGCTGGGATTTATCCAACGCACATCTGTGGATCTGTCTTTATTTACATTTAAAAGACTTTATTGTGATTTCGTTAGGCCCATTCTTGAGTTTGGATCAGTTGTATGGTCCACATCATACCACTGTTACATTCAACAGATTGAAAGAGTCCAGAATAAATTTTTGAGGGTAGCAGCCTATAAGAGTGGATACAGGAGAGAGGAATACGACTATCAGTGGGTAAGAGATAGTCTTAACTTACCTACACTTGAGTCAAGGAGGACATTGTTAGATTTATGTTTCTTACACAAAGTTATCAATGCTTTTATAGATTGTCCTCAACTCTTATCGTTGTTAGTCTTAAAGTTCCTAGTAGAAGCAACAGACAATCAGAAATCTTTTCGGTGCCATTTCACCACACTAATTATGGTATCAATGAACCAACTACACGATTGGTCCGGAGTGCTAATAGCTTGCCAAGACAAATAGATATTTTTGACTCCAAAATTAGTTTGTTTAAAAAACAACTAAAAAATATCTTACAATAAGTTGGTTGTACATCTGTATTATTCTTATATGTTTGTATTATTCTGAGGTGTTTGTTATTTTAATAATTTATTGTTGTTAAGGTGTAACTTTTTAAAAATTGTGATTGTTATTTTAATAATATATTGTTTTTAAGATGTAACTTTGTAAAAAATTGTAAGTAAATGGATGCCGTATATAAATAAATAAATAAAATAAATAATAAGCAAAAAAAATTATTTAGGGAAATGTCTCAAATCTGATATTTAATTGAATGATTTCTAAATAATGTTCAAAACCTTATTATGAAAATATTTTAGATTAGTCATAATGGATGTAAATGCACCAAAAGAAGAAATAGAAAAATATCTGAATTCTCAACAAGATGAAGATATATTTTCCATGGACGATGATTCCAAGTCTATTAGAACAACAACCACAGCCTTCACAAATGTCGATAGAATGGCACTAGGACACACTCTAGATGTATGTTTAGATAAAATGTTCAATTATGTAATAAACGAATGCCATAATTCAGAAGGCTTAAATTGGGAGAGTACGAAAAAGTTGTATTTGGACATGTTGCCCATATTTGACGATGTAATTTTGAAAACTTACAGCCTTCATCATGTACAGTATGTGATGTTTTTGATGAGCAGTTTCAAAACGACGTTAGCTGAAGCTTTTTTGAATTATTTATGGAAGAAAGTGTGCAATCTGAATGTTGCTCCGATTTTAAGACAAGCCGCAGTTAATTATATTGCTAGTTTGATAGCGAGAGGAAGTTTTGTTCCATTAGGGTAAGTATGTCTTTTATTCTATGACATTTTCTTCTTCTGTTGATTCTCTCATCCAATTAATTGAGATTCTTTGTTTGTTTTTCTTGAGGATGTGGATTCAAATTTCATTACTTTGTTGTTTAATTCTTCTGTTAACATTATTCCCACTCTTTTCTTGGTGTGCTTTTCTACTACTATAACCTAGTGTGTGTGTGTATACCTGTTTCATTTTCAGATTGGTGCCAATGGACTGTTCCACGTCCATAATTTTCCACATATAATTATTTTTTGATAGCCTATTTTTGTCTGTTTTCCTTATTATTTTGTTCATAATTGAAATTATATTCATAGTTACATGTTATTTTCATTTCAGAATGATAAAAGGAACGATGCAGCAATTAGCAGAATGGATTCATAGTTATATATCGGCACAAGACGGTTTGGAGTATGTCAATTCAGACCTTAGGGTTCATTCGGTGTTTTACAGCGTCTGCCAAGCACTTTTTTACATTGTGGCCTTTAGATACAAAGATCTCGTACATAGTAAGAAAAGTAAGTATGCATATTTGTTGAGGTTAATGATTAAATTAAATTAATTGAATGTAGAAACAAATTTGACATTTTATCTGTATAGAAGAAAGAATGAGATAGCATTTGGAGCTCCGAACTGCTCAATCTTCAATTATATCTACATTGACTGTACATGTACACCATGTTTACCAGGTGAAAGTAAAATTCGACTTATGAAACTCAAGATGTGCAGTCACTGATGTACTTTTTTGTACATTTGACTAGATATAACTTGCTATGCCATTATCTTGGTACTATCTACCAGCTTATCAGACTGATGTAGAAATGATGAAATTGCAAACTTAAACTGTTATGCTTTGAATGCATAACCGAACATTGTAGTCTAGATTTAAATTGCTCTATACGAATCTTCTGAACATTTTTTTTATTATTTTTGGTACATTATAATCTTATTTGTCTAGATATAATCTTTTTGGAAAGCCTTAACATGTCAAAAATGGTAACGTCCCGCCTAAATCCGTTGAAGGTATGTCAACCGGCGGTAGTCCAAAATTTTGCAGCAGTCACTAGAAAATATCAAATAGCCTACTGTTACACTGTAATGGAACACAACTCGAGGAATGTCCTGCCTACCATATACCAGGACGAAAAAGGAACCATTGTTGTTTCCAATAACGTACTAGATGCTTATTATCCTTTTGATCCATATTTACTTGTAAGGTAAGAAAAAAGTTAAAATTTATCTTTCTTCCTTATTCCAACATTGTTACTCTCTTTGTTATTTACTCATTCTTGCCTCTTTCTTACCACATTTAACTCCATCTGTCTTTCTTCTCTGTTTTATTATTTTGTTTCTCTCTACTAATTAGTTCTTTACTATTACTTTTTCTCCCTTCTCAACTCCTTCAATTATTTTCCTTGTTTTTATGTCTTATTTGTCCTTCCTCTTTGTCTTCTTTCCTTTTTGTGCTTTATACATTTTCCTTTTTCTTTTTTACCCCTTTCTTTTGTCTCTCCTAACTAGTTCTTTGGTATTGCTCACTAATCCCCCTCATTGCTCCCTTTCTCTCTTAGTATCTTCCCAATCTCTCTTTGATATATCCCTCCCTCCCTCCTGTCTTCCTTTTCATCTCATTTCACTTCAATCTATCTCTCTGAACAGTCCACCTTTATTTCTTTTTTCTTCTCTTTACAGTTACTGTTTCTTTTTTTCTTCGACTGTTTTCTTATCTCCTAACTTGCTCTTTATTATTCTTCCCAAATCCTCCGCTTTCTTCCTTTTATCCTCTCAATTTCCTTTGGTATTCCTTTTTTTTGTCTCATTTCTCACCTCACTCTTATTCCAATTCGTCTCACTCCAATTCTTCTCTCCGCTTAGTCCATCCTTTTTTTCTCCTCTTTAATTTCCCCATTTTAACTTGTTCTTTTCCTCCCAAATATCAGCTTTCTCCATTCTAATTATCTTCCCATTCTCTTTGTAATTCTCTCATTCGTTTCTCTTTCTCACATCGTCTCACTACAATAATAATTACTGTGCTAAATTTACTACTCTTTTACGTTTTTCTCTCCTAACTGGTTTTTACTTATCCTCATAAATCCCTCCCTCCAATCCTCCTTTTCTATTTACTATCATCTTCTTTCTGTCTCGACTCACATCACTTCATTTAATCATTCTTTTCTGTCTTCTCCCTCTTCTCTTTCTTTTTTGGTTTGTTTTCTTTCTTCTCTCTCACCCTTTTCTATTTTATATAACTAGCTCTCAACTACTTTAAATCCCACTCAACCTCCCTTTTTTAATTCTCTCGCCAAAAATTTTAATACTGGCTTAACCTAATGGTGGCTACCTAATACTGATTCAACCTTATTTTTTATGTATTTTTTAGTTATTTTTGTATTTGTAGATCTGGCGCAAAAATCAGGTCGATATATAAAGAGTACGAAGAAACTAATGAAGAAATGGAAGAAATCGATATGAAAGAGACTGAAGCCGATGATTTTTTATTCAATGAGAGTGGAGGTTCGGGAAAAAACAAGTCACATCAGTTTTCTTATGGCAGCTCGCCCGGTTTTAAATTTAAATAGGAAAGTTCTTTCACTTTTGAATGAAGATCATGATAAGAATCTGTTACAGAGACGTGATTTGTGAGGTTTCCTGACTGTGGTATTCTCTTTAGCGTGTAAAGAGTGGAGTAGAAGTTGTTAAGATGTATAATGCAACTAAATGTTTATTTATTTTATTATTATTAATTTTTTTTTTGATTGTTCATGTTTCGTTTGAAAATATATAAATTAAACATAAATAAGATTAATTTTATTACAAATAATAATATTAAACTACTCATTTCGTGGATATAATTGCTTCGGTTGCAGTTGTATAAAATTTTCGACTTTTTTTCCCTTGTCTGGATTTAAATTCGGAAATTGGTTCGAGTGCTCAGCCCTCTCAAGCTCCTTATTTCTGTAATGAATAATACTGTTTGATTTTTGTTGCCAGCATCTCTTTTATTGCAACAATCGGGTTGTTTCTCGATTTCAATAGCTCCTCTGATAATCTGTTTTGTATGCGTATGTATAATCAGAACTATAAATACGGGTTGGTGGATCCATTCGTGTTTATAATTATTTAGGCCCAAACGGAATGCCTAATATTATTTTATTGGTTGACCCTATATAAGATGGGTGATCAGCAAAAGGAATTTGATAGGCCCCATTTGTTCGTTAGGAATTTTTTATTTAGGAGATAAGGAAAAAAGTTTTTGATACGAAGTAAAGAATGTTTTGGAAAACACCTGTATGTTCTCAAAACAATTTTTTCTAATTCGGTCTGTCTAAAAGTCTATCTTGTTTCACACTATGTTCCTATTTCAGATTGTGACATGTTTCGGTTTTCTAGTTGGGCCTCAAGAGATAGTGGTATAAGTTGAAGACATACCCTTCGAGAGAAAAGGGAGGCTTTTAAGCATATTGTTAAGTGGTATCGCTGTATTGAGAAAGGTTGCGCTGATTTTCTCTCCCAGTCTATCTTCGTCTTGACCTAACACTGCTCCAAGAGGCTCCAACAGAATTTTAAATAGAAAAGCCAGGTATTTATCCCCTCTGGTGAATAAAGTTTTTGGTTCCATTTGAAATTTTATTTTTTTTTTAATACAAAGTAATATAAAAATGAAGTTTACCCCAATCTAATTTTAATGACAAAAAACGATTTTACTCCACTCTTTTACAGAAGGAGGTTCTGAAAATATGAAAAACTTCAGTACTAAATAATATAATTAAAAATATCATATACGACAGCAGTTTATTTTTCCAATTAATTTGATTGCGTACTTTATGTACATTTCTTTGATTGTTTTGTTACTAAAAGTCCGTTTGTTAATAGGTATGTTCATAAAACATGAATTTTTGGACATTTTGCACACAGTATGCAAGCAGTAAACTCTCGTTTTTAATGAGTTTTTTAGTTGGTAACTAAAATATTTTGTAAATCGTCTTTTTCGTTCATTAAGCAATCAAATGATCATAATACTCAACGACTATTTTACTTCCCGTTAGAATGGGCTCCACAATTTGGTTGGGTTGTCTTTATGCGTGTTTAAAAATTATAAAAATGAGTTAAAATAGAAAATGGAATATCTCTTAAAAATCCGGCTCGAAGGACCATTGTTGAAGGCGAGCAGCGTAAAATAATCGTCGGCGAAGTCAGCATGATAGAAAACACAAATAGTTGTAAAACCGACGATGACCAATAATACTTCAGACTATTCTAAAAGTATTGTCTGCTGTTAATATTGTAGAAGTAATTTTTCCATCGTGTTGCAGCTTATTTATAATATATAAATATATTTTCTTTCTAGGAAACTACTTTATTTTTAGTTTTAATCTTGCCCGGTGTTATTATTTACCTCTTTCACAGCAATTACTTCGACCAGTGACACTCCATTATCACGGCTATTTTCAATATATTGAATTATTGAAAACACAAGTCCCTTACACCAACTAATGAGTTGTTTTGACATTTTTTTATAGAAATACAACAAATACTTGCTTATTTATAGTATTTCAGTTTGTTTATATGACAAAAAACTGATATTAATAAAAATGCATATGACAACACTGTAAATAGGAGTGACAGTTTCTAACGTAAAGGTCATCGTCAATATTTCTTAATGCTTCTTCAATATTTGATGTAAATTATTATTTTTTGAGTACTAAAAGGGAGTTTCTAAGCAGCTGGTGTAATGTACATTAAGCCAGCTTCTTGAAGTACCACCGTTTTATAACTGACGACACGAAAAAAACAGCTGATTATACTGTAACTATGTAAGAATATCATTCTTACAGACTTTAATGACAATAAAAATTGGAGGTGTTAAAATCTCATAATACAATCCTCAAGAAGAAGAATTCGTTATTTTTAAGTTTGTTTAACATGAATTGTCTAAGGAAAATACCAAAAACTACTTTTTTGTGTACTGTTGTATATGAAATTATTAATTTTTTAGTTAGTATTCGGTACTTTATGTCGTAAGTTTTATACACTTTATATAAAAGCGACTGTGATGTTTTTTTGTTTTAATAAAGCGTTTGACACTAAAAGTGTTTATTTAATACCTCGCATATAAGAATATTTTAAACAAAAAGGACCGATACTGTTTAAAAAAGCGAAAAGACCCGAGAAAATAAGAAAGGTAAATATATACACTCCCCAAAACTAACGCGTCACTTTAAATGTACCATTAGTTTGAAGCTATACTTCTGAAACGTTAATTGGATTTTGATGATTTTTTTTTTTTTCACCTTATAGGTCTGTTTCTAAGGAAATACTGTACTACTGTTTCCTGAAAAATGTCAACGTTTTACCCATATAAAAATAAAGTTGTGTTTTGCAACACTCTGGAATTTTTTAAAAACAAGCTCTACATCTTATTAATATTGTGGAATAGCTTATTCTTTTCTCAACATTTTTATAAAGATCAATTTATCAGGCTTGTGCTAAGAGAACGTTTTGTCACAGTGAGACATTTACAAACAGTGGCCCATGTTCATAATATTCAAATTACTAGAAACACTTACAAAGGCGTCTCACTAAACAATATTTGCATGCAAGGATATCAGCCGGAGCTCCAGCTTTGTCCAAAAGACATGAAAAAGATAAACGCAAACTAAATAATAGGTTTTCTTTAATTCTGGACCTTCTTGGGAGAAAGGAATTTTCTTTTTTTTTTCCCGTGTATCCGCACTTTAATGAATGGGGGTATACTTATATAGCTCTCAGATATACCTTGTTGTTTTATGAAGATGTTCCTTAACACTTGAAAGGTATATTACAGACTTTTTGTGTAACCTCGCATATTCCTTAATAATTTTCTTTTAATGCATGCTAATGCACGACCAAATGTTAAACGTGTAGTCCATGATTGTTTGGACGAAGTTGGTATACAAACCATGAACTGGGCACCTTGCAGCTTGATTTAAAACCCGTAGAGAATTTGTAGGATATTATTGATCGTCAACTCAGAAGCCGACAACAATCACCTGTCTTGACGAGATAGAAGTTATGGTGAGAGTAGTTTGGATTGCAATCGATCAAGATAAAATATACCTAGTTGCTGTGAAGGTGAAGAAGTGTGTTTGAGAGAGGAAACTTATTAAAGAAAAAATCTTATGCTGCAGCTATTTTCTTATGGCATTTCAATGCATTAATGTTTTGTATTTTGAGAATGATTTCCGAAGTGGAAATCGAAACGTTAAGAAGTTTATCTAACTAGTGTTTTTTTGAATTTTATTGTTTATATTTATTATTTTATTACCAATAAAATGTGGAAAATGCAATGATGTTTCAAATTTTTATTAACGATTAAAAAGGTATTTTAAATGAAATTAAAAAATGCTATTTAAATTCACGATTTATTTTATTTATTTCATTATATATGAAGATTTTTATAATTTTTAATTTAAACTTTTGGAGCCTTATGTTTAAAATTTGGTGAAGGCACCAACTTTGCGGTATGGCAGGTAACAATATCACGAGTGTTGATTTAGCACTCATTTAAAATGCAATAACTTTTATTTACTTTTTTTCTAGGATACTAAATAATTTTAAAGTATTTCATTTGAATTGAAATTTTTTTCAGCAAAGCTGTTATTTTTCCGTGTTAGAACATCGAAGTCAATATTCAGCTATTTCTGACATCTTACTATTAATTTTGTGTTTACTGTAGGTCGTTATGTCATGTAGACTAAGTATTATGTTTATGTTTTTAAGCTTAAAACATTGCACAATACCACAGAATAATAAACAAACAGAATACCCACTCTCCACGGAAAATTAAGTACGCGCATCTCCTCCGCGCAGACGTTCCGCCATGTTTTAGGAGGATTTAAAGAAATTAGTGTTGTTTATGTGGTGTGCATGGAAAAATTAACCAGGTTTATTTGACTTACGTGCAATCAAAGACATACAATACAATTATATTAACATTGTTAAATATAATAACATAAATATAATATAATTAAACATAAATATATACAATTACATAACCACACAAATCATATGTCTTGTGTCCTCCTAAAACATGCGCGCGTTCTGAAAAACTTCAAAGGCGCATCTGAGAGTGGCCCTTCTGTTTGTTTATTATTCTGTGACAATACCATCTACTACTAATAACAGTACAATAGAGCTGATTTTATTGTAATGTCCAAGCAATTACATGAGTATAATGTGTTGCATATAATACAGGCGACGATGATTTTAAAAGCCCAACAAACTTTTACAGGGTCTAATATATTATCTTATTTAACTATCTAATTAATATTATGCAAAAGTAGTGACAACGAATTACGCTTAGCTTACTATATTCGTTGAACGACAACGAATATAGAAGCGTTTGTTCCTTCGTTGATAGTGATCTGATATGCTTTTGTTACTACGCATTACATATTTTTAATGTGCGCAGAAAGTATATATAAAAAACAGTTTGAAGTTGTTTTGCACTTTGTTTTCTTTTTTTATATTATCTCTTCGCGAGTTTTTTTCTTGCAATCTACCACAACAAGACCACAACCTTTGACGTGTTTCGTCAGTTTCGTGAAGATGGAGGCTGTTCAGCACAATCATCGAGTATTCGTATGTAAATTTCTAACTCGATGAGCACAACACAACACAGAAATGACATGTCACAGTAAATACCATAAATATTAGTGTAAGAAGAATAGAACAAGTGCGGAGAGTGAGTTGTATGGGCCCAGCCGTTCATATGGCGACGGCGCTACTAGTCACAGTAGGTGACTAGTGTCTAGAGCCCGACCCACTATTCTGACTATGATTCTGTGCAGACTTGCGCACATAGATAAAGTAATATATTATTACAGGAGTTCATTTGTATTCATTTCTGAATGTGTCAATGAGATTTATAATTATCTTTATCTATTTTTAAATTTTATTAAATGATGAAGTTCCTCGAAAAGCTGTTTTTTTTTAATATTTTTTGTTGCGCATATGTTTCCAATAAAAATGTGTTATAACAGAGTGTGATGTCAATGTGAATTTAATTATTTTAGGTGGAACACCAGGTATATTATTTAGTTATTGGATCCAATACAAAATAAATACAAAGAACTTTATCAATATATTGGATTGCCATGCTTTTATTTAACTTGTTTTTGTTATACAATGTATTAAAGGCACAATCCCTTCTATATTAACTTTTAAATATATAGCCTTTAAGATACATACTTATGTACCATCGAGTTAGAATCTAGATATATTATAAACCTTAGATTCTAACTCGATGTTATGTACATTCCATTTCACACCTGGTAAAAATATAGGCAGGTTTCATTTATTTGATATACATAATATCTATTATAAAAGAATATATATACCTATATGAGTACTATACATTATTAAAAACAAGTTGAGATTCGAAAATGAACTCACTCTTCTTTATTGAAATTAAAGTCATAAGGAGACATGCAGAGAGTGATCTATTCATTAACCACCCTGTATCCTAAAATAAGTTAATTAAAACTATAACATGGAATATCAAGTCTTGGGAATTTTTGTGCATAATCCAAAAAATTTATAATATACCTAACCAATGTTTCATTTAAAATAAGAAAGTTGGAATCATAGTAATTGATATATAACATCAGTCAACATCCTGTATATAAAATAACAATTTTTTATTGGAAAAAATGCGCAAAAAGTATTTTTTAAAATACTTTTTAATTTGCTATTATTTACTATTAATTTTAGAGTTATTCTTATGCAACCAACAATACACATAAACCTCATTGTCACATTCAGGTATGACGTTGATGTAAGTGCTGTTGCCATAGTTTCACTAATTTACATTAGCCCTGTATTAGCCAAAATGATTACTGTACAATGTTTTCCAGAAATAAAACAAAAGGGCAGACCTATAGAACAAGTGCCGAGGAACTGACAGAAGATTAGTGACAGATCTGTATTTAGCGGTGTTGCCATATCACAAATAAATCCTTGAAAGAGCATGCGATATAATATTAATTAATGTTCAACATTTTTTTAAGTTTTTTGAAAGAAGTTTAATTCATTAAAATTAATTTATTATAATTTAAATTAACTTTAATTTTTTAAGCTTTTAAATTCTTAAGTTATTAAATTTAATTAAACATCTTTACCGATATATTTTTACTTTGTTATTCACATTTTAAGGATTAAGATGTCAATAATGATAATTTAATCTCTGCAATGTAAATTTGAAAAAATATCGATCTGAACAAGCTCCAGTAACTAGCTAATACATTAACAAAACGATATTCAGGTACCATTTCACCCCAAAATTATAAGAAATAGTCATAAAAATTGAAATCTGCTAAAAATCTGTTGCAATCTGGCAACTACTGTTTTCAAAATTTTGACAGTATTGCCAAGTTTATTTACTAATCTACCAAAGGCCAATTATAATTTTTTTTTCTAATAACTAACTGCAACTAATATCAAAAGAAACAAATATTCATTCGTTCATGTTTCATATAAATTCAAAAAATTTAAAAAAATACCCGATTTCATAAAATAATATAATAAAAATGTACTGTTTCAAAGCATATTTGAGGCATAAAACATACACATAATAAGGACATGGCAATACCGCAGACACAAATTTGACATGACGTTTTATGTCAAATTCTCGGCACTTATTCTATAGATTGCCAACAAAAGATTGTAGCAAATTCTACTAAAATCACAACTTAAATTTACAATAACTTATTTCTAAAGAATTTTGAGTATCCACCGAAAAAAAAAATATGTTGCAACATTGTAATCCACAATGGATGGCGTGATCAATACAGCCCGTCCGCATGTGGCGCTAGAAACTCTCCCAAATATTTATATGGGACTTACCTTAGTAGAGGGCTATGTACTTTGCACTCTGCTGTGACAGGTCTTTGACTTTGACATTCTTTTAATTTTTAGGGTTATGTGGTGGTCAATTGAAAAAGAATTTTTGTGGTCTGGGTCTGAGTGAATTATTGAAATAACCGAAAATATGGCAGATAAAGTTCCGATAAAATTAGGGGGAACAGATTACACCCAAGTATTCATTGCAGTTTTTGTCATAGTTATAACTTTGGGTATGTACTACAACATATGGATATATTTTATTCAAATTTTTAACATGCTTAAAGCAGACACTAAGATATTGTATCGTTACTTTTGAATAAATATACTAAATTTTCTTTCAGTTCTAATTGCTCTTTACAAAAGAAGGAAGAGTTCTCGTCAGGGAATACTTTTAACTGGTATCTGTGACAGTGGAAAAACTTTAATATTTTCCCAACTAATTCACAATAAGCATATACAAACGCACACGTCGATCAAAGAAAACGTTGCAAACTATATAAGTAACAATGTAAGTATGTAACTTTATTTAGAGAATTATTAATAAAATTAAAAATTGTGATTGTTTTCTATATAAATACTTGATTGCTTCCGTATAAGAAACTTGAGTTATTTAGTGATCTAACACATGATATGGGAAGTTATAATGTAGAAAAATGAGTTCTAAATGTTCTGTATGTAGTGAAATTTCACCAAATTCTCAGTTTTCTTTCCAATACATAAAACTTTGAAGCACTACATATAGTTTTCCCATTTTATTTTCAAATGATATAAGCAGTAATAAAATATTTCAGGAAGTTCTTAGAATCATTGACATTCCTGGGCATGAACGTTTAAGAGACAAATTTTTTGAACAATACAAAGAAATCACCAAAGGTATTGTATATGTTGTGGACTCCAATACTATTACCCAAGATATAAGAGATGCTGCAGAATTTTTATATAATATGCTAGTTGATCCTGTTGTTATTAAAAATAAACCCAAATTGTTGATTTTATGCAATAAACAAGACTACACTTTTTCTAAGGGAGGATCTGCAGTGAAGGCTATTTTTGAAAAAGAATTGTAAGTACTGTAGTGGTTATGTGTTTCTAAGCTTGTTATTTGTCTATATTTTATTGTGGTTACCACCACTTATACGTTTTTTTTATTGTAGAAATACCCTTCGTATTACAAAATCCAATCAACTTGAATCAGTGGATCCTAAAATGAAAAAGACAGCCTTACTAGGAGATCCCGAAGAAGACTTTGATTTTGCTAGCTTGCCATTGAAAGTTGACATTGCTGAAAGTTACGCATATCACAAAAACGGTACAGTTGACATTGAAGGATTGAAAAAATGGCTTGCTCATCATGTTTAGCTTACTGATTGAATTTAAAGATCAGTTTTTTTTAATTTAATTTTTGTTTTAGCAAAGATTTTGTACTTTTTTTAATTATTTATTGTTATTATGGTCCAAAATAAAAGATATGAGTTAAATATTATATAAGGTTTTATTATTTTGAAATTAACTTATAATAAAGGACTGATAAGCAAAAGATGAAATTAACTTATTTATGAATTATTATAGACTATAAATGTTTTCACTTCAGTGTAAAGTAAAAATTTACCTGAAATAGCCTAAACAAATTTGGGAAACAGCAAAAAAACTGTTGGTTGAATGTACTGTAGATATAAGCAAGCCAGCAACGAAATGTACAAAAACATACCAATAAAAATGAAACTGGGAAACGAAGTAACAAAAGGATTTTATGCAAATAAGTACTTTAAACAAGGTTGCCCTTTGTCCCTTACTTTATTTAAAATATATGTGGAGATGGAGATTACTCTCAATAATAGAAACATATCTATGTTGTAATTTTGTAGATGACCATGAAATACCAGGAGAACTTTGCAAGGAAAGCAATAACTAGATTGAATAGCATATGGTGGATTAAAGATATCAGTAAATGAAGAAAAAATAGCGTTTATAATACAATAGACACAATGACAAAAAAGTACTCACTGCTATGGAATTATTGTTTGTTTTCATTACTGAGAAACAACCAATATGTTTTAAATAAAACTCTTTATAATCATGCTAGATTATTTATTACTTTTATTTACTTTATTACAACTTTTTAACAGTAGATGAAAACTACGGTTCTATAGTATTAGTAATTTGATGCTTTTAAAAAATCCGAATTGGTTAGTGTATGTTTTCTTCGCATTCTTTTTTTAAATTTAAATATGGTTGTGTAAATGAATCGATACATTTGTCCTCCCTGTATATCTACGATCCCTATAGTATCGCTCGGGGAATGCATCTCGGAGCCACAAGAGCGTGATCGTCGATAAGAGGGACAGACGCAACTCGAGAGTGAACCAATGCAGACATATTAAATTCTTTGTTCGCTGTTTCATAAAATAGTGTAAACCATGGTAATAAACTTCAACTACCGGTAAGTCTTACCTAGTTTTACCTGAACATATACATTGTTTTGATTGTTTATTGCAACCATTTAAAATTTGATGATTATTTGCACCTATGAGAAAGTTCATTTATCTCGCCAGGGCTATCGAACGAAATATGATGTTAATTTAATTATTATAAATTATCTTGTACTAGACTGTTGTTTGTTTAATTCGCCACATTCTTGTTAAGCCTTTTGAATACATTTCTCCTCAAGCTTTCAGGACACCGACTAAGAAATAAAGTTAAAAAACGTTTTTTAATATTTTTTTATTTTCTATGAACAGGTCGAGTTATAAATATAATTATAAATTTAACAAAAAAAATTCATAAATATGGATGATTCAGAACAGGCACATTTATACAATAGATTTCCTTTTAGACTTAGACACTGACACTTAATGTTGTTAAAATGCGTTTGAAATTGAACTGATCCAAGACAATATTATTTTAGGACAATATATACTTGGTTTTATGGAAATTTGTGATTGTGTTAAAAGAACATAAAATATTTCGGTATTCTACAAATCTTTTGAGGTTTGCACGATCTTCTGGAATGGCAGACAGTGAATGTGACATAATACTGATATTTTAAAAGGTTATGTTAACTAAATAAAAACTCTCTAGGGTAGATTGGCAGAACAATTCATTTTAAACTCTTCATGTTTTGTTAGTAATTTGCATATTAATACCTTACAAAACGAAAAAAAAATACATGCCCTATTATTAAAAGAACACAGAATATACCAATATTCTAAAAACTTTGTAAGGTTAGGTTAACCTTTTATACCCTCAGAGAATAAAATGTGATGTCATACTGCTATTTTATGAGGTTATGTTGATTCTAATTAAACACACTCATGTACATTGGTAGAGTAATTCATTTTAAATCTTTCAGGTTAGTTCCTAGTTTAATTTTTACTAATTAGATACTTTACAAAAGTTTTTTTTATCTTTAGTTGGAAATGTCTTTATCTAAACTGATCTTATACATTTTTAATAATCTTTTTGGTACACTACAACCCAAACATCAATGAATGAGAGGAGGAATTGGTTACAACTTTGTAAAATCTACTTCGTAGTAAGAAATGGTATTGGTCTATACTTACATGATTAATTGATGCGCAGTGCAAAATTCGTGGATACTTTATAAGTGTTCAGGAAGACCGACAACTAATTTGAATTTTCGACGTGAAATCGCGACTACTTACCATACCAAATTAAGAAACCTTCCCATTAGACCTAGTAGACCAACAACAAGCAGAAATAGTCTATCCTTTAAAGAATCTCTGACAACATTAGATACGATGGTATTAACCATCTCATTATACCTGTTCCTAACAAAAAACGAAGGCGGTGCGCAGCAGAAGGGTGCTGCTCAGTAGGACGTACGCAATGTGAGAAATGCGATATTGGACTCTGCTTTGAATGCTTTGCCATATTTCATAAAGAGTAAATCTTATATTTTTTTAGTATTTTGACCTAGTGTTACCATATATGGTCACAGTTTGTAATGTTATATTCGATAAACAAATAAAATTTAAAAGGTTTTTCTGCTCATTTTTATTTTTCCTAAACTAAACTTGGTAAAAAACCACCAGTTTAACAAAAAATTAATTCAGGCTTTGATGGGTTAATATATTAATTATAAAGAGTTGATCTATGGTATCTAAATTTATTTCACATAATTTTTTTGTTGCATACAAAATTTAGTTGAAATCGGTTGTATAGTTTCCGATATTTAAAATTTTCACGGACAGGTACACAAACAGACATCATATAAATTACAGGATTAATAATATAAGATTCCAGTCTCATACTATTGATATAAAGATATATTTATGACCCAAAATGTGGTCATCATTGTACCAATTCAAATAACACCATTCTTGGCGTTTTCATTCAATTTCCATGAATGGAATTTTCCATGACATTTGCAGGAATAAAAAAATATGCAAAACTATTATTGGAAAAAGGCATTTTCTATTTGTTAAATAAATAAATTACATCATACACAAAAACAATATTATCCGGAACAGTCAATATCAGCTTCAACATGCCTCAATCACAGTGCTTTTATTTTTTTTATTACCGTATAAATAATTTGTTTAAAAATGCTATTTCGACTGCGCCGCAGCCTCCAGTTCCTGCTCGACGATCTTGCGGTATTCGTCGAAACCTCCCTCTACGCTTTTGACTGATCCGTTTCCGCACACCCACAATTCGCTGCAGACCATTCTTATCAGACGTTCGTCGTGAGATACTAAAATTACACCTCCCTAAAAAATATTAAATCGTCAATAAGTGCTTTTTCAATATAAAATAATATTGTAAGAACCGTCTTTTACTACAGGGTTAAGCCTATTGAACTGTTACCAACTTCACATCGATATATCTGGCAAATCGATAATGACAGCTACGTCAAAGTTAGCCTGATAACACTTCAGTTTATTGTTTATAAGCCGTCAAGCATTTGCATTTAAGTTTTATACATACAACAAAAGTTATTCGCAATGGAATTTAAACGTAATAGTGTGATTGCGTTATATTTGTCTGGAAAATCATAACCAGTGTTCGTCAGCTCAAACACCTCAAAGTGAATAAAATGTTTGTGTATCGCACCATAATTCATTATAATGATACTGGTAGCTTTGCCAAACGCTATGGTGGTGGACGAAAAAAAAACAGCAACATCACCTGAAATGATTCGGAAAGTGAAGGCTCGATTTGAGCGAAATCCACGTCGTAGTGGTAATCAAATGGCCAAAGAACTGAAAATATCCCAGCGAAGCATGCAATGAATATTGAAAAAGGAGCTCAAGGTCAAGCCTTACAAGTTCCAAAAAGCACACAATCTTACACCAAAGCAAAAAAAGTTCGGCTTGAAAGAGCAAAGGAGTTGTTATGCCTGCACGAACGTGGCGAATTTCCGAAAATAGTGTTCTCTGATGAGAAAAATTTCCCTATTGAGCAGTTCATAAACTCTCAAAATGATCGTGTTTACTTGACCGAACGCACATACGAAAGTTTGAGCTTACGAACGGCCACCCGAAGTAATTTCCCATCTCAAGTAATGGTATGGGCAGCTGTAACCGCCGATGGACGCTCTCCAATCGTTTTTATTGAATCTGGTGTCAAAGTCAATGCAACTTATTATCGGGAAAATGTTTTAGAAGCTGCTTTAGAGCCGTGGGCACGCAAACATTTCGGTTGTAGACCATGGACGTTCCAACAAGACTCGGCACGTCTCATAAAGCTAGTGTGAACCAAGAATGGTTAAAAAACCATGTTCCACACTTCATTTCATCCACACAATGGCTTTCGAATTCGCCAGACGCAAATCCGATGGACTATTCCATCTGGTCCATTTTGGAGAGCAAGGTGAGGACTAAAAAATATGCCAGTATGGATGCGCTGAAGAAAGCAATTATACGTGAATGGGCCAAAATACCGTAAGATCACATTCGTGCAGCATGCAACTCGTTTTTTGATCGTTTAAAGGCCATAGTCAAGGCAAATGGTGGCCACATCGAGCTAAAGTTAGTGGATTCTGAAATTTTGATTATTTTCACACATTTTTGTCATTTGAATCAATAAAAAATAATTTCACACAAAAAAATTATGGTCGTTTGAATAGGTAACAGTTCAATTGCGTAACCCTGTATTAATATGTAGTAGAATTGCAGAATTAAATATTATACTGACTATTCCAGAACAAAAGTGTTGAAATATAATATTGCTTATAAAGAATGTTAAATTTTTTAAGAGATAAACTGACTCTTGTCCTCATTTTTAATATTGCTCTGAAACTTTTTGTTATGAAAAACATATAAATAAAAATTAAAACCACTAAATAGGAAACTATTATTCATCATTTGAAACTATTCTTATAAAAGAGTCCTCAATTCACAACAAACGTATTTGTTATGTTAATTCAACTTTGAACTTACGGTATACTTCTTTAAGGCTTTGCCTAGGGCTTCTATCGTTTCTATGTCCAGATGATTCGTAGGTTCGTCGAGAACTAGGAAG